CGCGCACGGGGGCTGTGGCTTTTGCCGCGCACGGGGGGCGGAGGGGTTTGGCCAGTGACTCTCGAACGGCCACTGACGCCGGCGTTGCCAAACCTCCCAGACGAACAAACAGCGTGAAGGACGTGAAAATGGTTTTTTCTGTTTTTGTTTCTCATTAATGTGGTCCACGTAGATAAATTTCAACCAATCAAATTGTTTTTGTCAGTGATAAGGGCTGTTGCTTGTACAAGCAATTCACAAAAAAATTTAAGAAATCCAGCTGCCATGTAGGACAAGTCCAATGGGGGTTTGTTATAAGGTACGGTGCTTAACAATAAGAAACCCTTCACGCACCCTCCGTTGGAGGTGCTCTAACATGCACAAGAAAGTTGTCTTTCCCAAGCCATTTTTGCACCTGCTAGCACAAGTGCCCCTCCATCATGGATAGAGACATTCACATGACGCAGAACTTGCTGGGCATTTCTCATGCAAGACACGTTGTTGAGAAGGCGAAAGAGGGAATGGGGGTCTTCTAATAGACATCAAGTTTAACAATTGGAAAATGAAAAAGAAAACTAATGCACATCCAAATTAATGCTTTCCGAGCCTTTGGTGATGCAATTAGAACAAGTCACATAGCATTTCCAGCATGAAGCCTACTGTAAAATAGGAGAAAAAAAAGGACAAATAGTAAGAGAGCAATTTTTCTGGTATCCTGAAGAGTGACTCAATCTTAACTACACAAGACCTATGTTATCAAGATGCAAAAACACTATCAAAATTACTTCTGATGTTCAAGCATTTTCACCAGTCCCAAATAAAAACACCTCAATCTTTTGATATTTTTTTCTTGGACCAAATATGGAAGTCATACGCTTACCACAAAGCATTTGGGTTGAGTATTAGAAACAAATTAAAGTAACTAACTAAAACAACAAGTCCCATTGAAAACAAAAGTGAAGCCAAAATCATGTCCAACATGAACCAACATGTTCATTATTCAGTTTTAAAGATAAGAGACCAAAAATAAGAGACAAGTTTGAAAGTTAAAGTTGTTGCCATCATCAACGTAGAGTTTACCCTCAGTTGCTGGAGAACTATTCAAACCTATAATCTATCAAAAAGAAAGCCATAACTTTTTAATAATTTATATTAATTTAACTTCATAGAAAATTATGCTTCGAATTCCCATCTAACAGGAAAGCTGACAAAGTTTATCTCCCAACAGTTATGTGAAGGTAAAATCTTATCAACAAGCAATACATAGGATGTCCTGGATTTCTTATTTCTTATTTATCAAATGTATATCTATGCACACAAACACCAAATGAAGGTAAAAACTAAAATATGTCAGGATAAGAAAGAAATCAAATGAAGATATATTTATTACATATGTCAGTTCAATTATTTATGCTTCTCAACTGAAAACTCACAGTACATTGTCAAACAGATATTATCAGGTCATCTAGCAGATCAAATTAGAAATATTTAGCAGTAGATAAAAAAAAATAGCAATTCTAGTTATGAGCTTAGCATTTCTTTTTGTTCTATATGAGCTAGGCCAAATTTAAACAAACCAAAAGAACACCTTGGAGTCTAAGATATTGCCAGCACATACAGTTGCCTGACTCTGTAGTACAAATGACCCCAATGCATTATATAGCTGGAATTCAAGCAAGTATGTATGGTGGAATCAAATAATTATATTCAATCTAACAATTTAAAATTTAAGAAATTTGAATTAACTCATCCAAACAAAATATTTTAAGAATGATAAAAATTGAAATCAAAGTAATTCAAATACCAAAAATTTAAAATTCCTTAAATTTTGTAAAATTCTTTATCCAAACACACTATAAAGGAATTGAATGGTATGTTTTGTTGTTTTCTTTATCCTATTACTTAAATCAAGCTGTACAATATTTTTAAATTTTGTTTTACTTTTAGAAATAGATGAAAAAAGTTCATATGATATGTTCAATCCGATTCATATATCAAATATTAACATAATTTATGTTTTCTCCATTATTCTGGTAAGAAACTTTTCGTGACTTTTCTTCCTACTTGATGATTAATTTTTCTTTGCTATTAGCAAATAAGCTAAAATATTGTTTATTAGTTCACATATATGTTAGTATTTATTTTTTTACTTTTATTCCGACATCATGATTAATATACACAATTTCTTTTAATTTTTTCCATATTATATGTTATGATTATAAAAGCATGAAATACAATCAAATATAAGGATTATATTAAAAATAATTATTATATAGACCAAATTTTATTTTGTTTTTTATCCTAATTATAAGATTAGTTTTAGCTTTTATATTGATTTATTTTAGCATTTATTTTTAAAATTTAGGTTGTATATGGCCGACAATTTCATCCTTATATAATTGTAGGAGATGGTTTTATAATTATAACATAAGACAATGACTAAATTGTATATATATAAATATATAAACTAAAGAAATTAATGTTCGTGTAGAGAATTTTATATAATCATTCAATCACAATCCATCATAAATATAAATATAAATATAAGATTGTTAACTCTTATAATAATTATTTTAAAATCTTATAAATTGTGATTTTTAATTTAGTTAATTATGTAAAATTTATTACGCTAATAATATATGACTATTAAACCTTAAATTAAAATTAAAAAAACTACCTTTTTTTTTACAGCAAATGAAAAAAGAATACAAAAAAAAATATAATATATATTTTAGGAAGAAAAAAACATTTTACCAAGCAAGGCAAATCTTCTAGTCTTCAATTATAGTTATAATCCTCCAAACAAAACAAGACATGTAAAATGGTATTGCTGTAGTGCCACTGTTATCCACGCTTGTATCTTCCCATGTTTGTTTTTTTGTCACTCTTTTAGTCTTTCCCCTCATCTCCGTTATACTAGTGTTCCTTGATCCTACGTCTTACCTCATCCATTCTTTCTAAATCCTAGTCAGATTTGTCTTATTTAAAGCTCCTTATATGGAGCGTTTTGTTTCAAGGATTGTAAACCAACACTTTTTTTTATATTATTATTTCTGTTATGCTCTTTTACTTTGTTGTATTGGAAAACTATTGCTATCATGGTAGTGAAACAAACAATGAATAACTCCGGTTGGTTGTTTGAGTTGTGTTGGCTTCCCTTTGATTTGTTTATTTTGGTCCCAAAAACCACTCTCAATTTGATATTATTTATTTAATATATAAATTTGTTGGCATGTCCTATTTTCACAACTTGATTGATATTTTTAATAAACTTTTTCTCTTAGTTATATTTTTTTCATATAGAATATTCAAATTCAAGATGTTACTTAAAAGATCATATTGAGTCCAGTTTTACTATTGCTAAGGGAAAAATTAATTTCAAAGGGTACAATTTGCAGCATATTTATTTCACGATCCGATATAAAATTTATACAAACTGAAATTAATTTACAGACATTTCGATCACAGTAATTAAAAATAAACATTTCTTGAACTTTGTCTCAACTTGAGACTTGGTATCAAAGACAAAGAGTCATCTCATCTCAATAGTATTTTTTATTAGACGTAAATCTTGAATTAACGGTCACATGTTTAAGGGCTCCATTTTTTTCCGGTCAGACAAACTCACATGGTAAAAGTCGTTAAAGGGGGAAAAGAAAAACTAGGAACCGATAGTGTCAAACCACCCTGACTGACACCTACGGAATATAATTTTATAGGATTACTTACTTACGCAGTTGTTTAGTGTGACTTGGCCCCAGGTGTTGGCCTATAATTATTCAAATCCTATAAGGAATAGTATCTTATTTATGTAGTTGTGATTTGTCGTTCTTAATTCGTCCAAAGCTCATTAATAATCACTAGAAAATTCGTTCACATTTCCTAGGTCACAGTTTTAACATGTAATAAGTAGATAAAATAGGTTTATTGACCAATGACTAACTTCCAAATTGACCTAAACTCACTTTTGACTAGTTGAAGGATTTGGAGAGTTAGGAGATACATGTCTCAAGTTTCAAGTAAAGAAAATTGATTATGAGAACAGAAGAATTTTAGAGTAGTAGTCAGAGAGAATTTATCATTATGTTGTTGGTGTCGTCTTTTAACATCCTCTCTCCATTTTTTATTTATAGTCGTTTTGTCAAAATTTGTTATTTTTTTTCATTGTTATTTTACAAAATTAATGATTTATTAAATGTATTTTTTTTTTCTCATTTTTACCCTTGATAATTAATGTATGTTTATTGTTTACTGAATAATGTGCCTATTTATTTTTAATGTCTACCTATTTTTTCTCCAACTACCTATGTAAAATTAATGTTACATTTAAAAAGGTAATATGTTTCTAACGAAATACTATAAAAAAATAAAGGATAAAATAGGAAAGTAAGTAATAAATATTTTTGAAAACTAAAATATCAATCATTTCCTTAAGTCCCGTGCAAAACCTTAAACGACTATGAATAAAAAACGGAGGGAGTATTTATGTGTTTCAATTTCAACTTATTCAATGCAAGGAATCAAGTTTTGCAGAAACCATTGTGGCAAACGGTTTTGGATTTTGAGTTGAAAGCTGAAAGGTTAAAGCATGTAGCGAGCCAGCTAGGGTAGAAGAAGAACTATGATTTATTAGAGTACAATATATATAAAATTGGGCACTAATGACACGCCTGAATGGAAGAATCATCATCATAATGGTGTGAACGCGCATAACGCAAGCAATGACCCGTCAAATAGTTTTAATAATAATAATAATGCATTAAAAAGCAAGGTACCGACCAAACAAATGAAGTTTTGTCCATAATCCACAATAAAGAAAATCCATTTGTTGACAATGACTCCCTCCACTGTCGTATTAGGGAATATTTTCAAAGACATAAACAGCTAATTTACTAAAGACAGTTCATAATAAGACATGAAATAAAGCAGAATAACCTGCACAAGAAAGGTGAAAATGAAGCTTCAATGTTCAAACACAACTTCTCATACCAAACTGAATACGCTTGCTCTTATACATAGGTCCGAGACACCAAACCAAAAAAGAAAAACATAACACTAAATAGTCAATAAAAACATGGGTTGGTGTCTTTTTCCTAGCTTAGCTGGTTTTGAATCCTACCGCTAAATAGTCAGCATTAACATAAATGTTATTGCTAGCAATGTTTTTTCATTTTTGTTTTATATCTATACGGGTACTAATATCTAAGTATTATATATATAAAAAAAAAAATGTTACAACTTAATTTTTTCATGATTAAGCACCTCAGATTTGCGGGTTCCGAAAAGTAATGACTAAGAATACGTCCAAAAATTCCAACAAGAAGAAAAACGGGTTCCCCATATGAAAACAATGCCAAATTCCTATTTTTGCTGTTTTCCCAAGCGCCAAACAGACCTGATCAGAATAAGCAATGAGGAGAAGACAAGAATTAATCAGAGTGATGTTGAAAGGTGGAGAAATTCATCATTCAAACTCTGCCAATCATTCTTCTTGTGAAAGTTTTTCATGTCTTTTTGGCGGATGGGATTTGCTTAAGGCAATGAAGGACTGAGGATGGTCCTCCTCTCCCACCCACCACCCTGTTTCCATTACATGTTTCATTATTCCTTTGTAACAGACGATGATTAAGCACACGCATGACACAACTTTTTTCTTTTTCATCTCGGACTTTGGTATCAACTTTTTGAGGCGAATCTTATGTTCAACATCTAACTGAGATACAGAGAGTTGGGAATAAAAGCCAGAGAAAAATTCAAATGTTTCCTCTTGTTAACCACTTATACATAACACTAGTTTTATCTTCTATAACCCACCGTCGGTGATAATTCGGATGCTAAGAAGGTCTAAACAACAAGAAAGACAAAAATAACTAGGAACCTAAGTTTTTCAACAATGAACATTCAATCGAACATCACAATAAAAACAAAACCATCTGTGACATTCATGTTCACAACTGCTTAATTTGAATTAAGGCAGGATGAAATATACTACAACCTTAGCTTCTTGCCAAAGAAAAATCTAGCTGAAAAGAAAACAAACAAGACATATATATAACATACAAGTTCATAACAGGATGGGATCTGCTCCAGTTCCCATTCATTACTATGTTATACAACATAAATAGGGTAAGCTTCACTTAGGCCAAGCCATATCTTGTATCTCCTCTTCTGCTACTGAGGTTGAAAAAGTTAAATAGGGTAAGCTTCACTTAAGGTGCTTCCGCCAAACCCCAATAATGAACTGAACTCTGGCACTTCAAACTGCTGAAAGCCTGAAACTGGTGCTACTTTTCAACTAGTATGAGCATAGAACAGGAAGCAGTAGTCCACCGGTTACAGAAAGCTCAGATTTACCACCATAGATGTTATGACAGAGGGTAACACTACACAATTATATAACTACACACCACCACTATAAACTATAAAGTAGGGAAATATTAAAAAAAAATTAAAAAGGATAAGATACAAAAAAAAAAAAAAAAAAAAAAAA